CAGTAGTTTTTAAAATTAAATAATGGATAGGGTTAGGGTTTTAAAAATTTATAAAAAATGGAAAATTAATAAAAAAAATATTTTATTTTAACTGCACCCCTCCATATGACACAGATAATATGTACTAAGTTTGAGATGAATCCACTAAATAGTTTAAGAGAAATCACGCGGACAAAGTTTTCGGACAGACGGACGGACGGAACGGTGGTATAATTATATACTCCCGACCTAAAAGGTCAGGGGTATAATAAAGGTATACGTTAATGCCAGTCAGGATAAAGTATATATGAGTATGCCAGTTAGGCAATACAATTCTTATTTCTTAGTTTGCATATCTTTTTCAGTTGACAGATTGTGGACAGGTGAAATTGATTCATTTTTATTTGCATGTTACAAAGGTATTGGATAGAACAATTTCACCTAAAAAAAACAACCAAAATGTTAAGTATAAATTGATCAATGCATTGTCTGCCTTTGTCATTGTAAACATCAAGAAAAGGGTAAAAAATATTCTCAGCAAATACCTGTTTGAGTGTTATTCAAATTATTAACAGATTAAACATTGCTATGTATTTACATGTGCGAACAAAACAAAGAATATTCAGACACACAGTGAGTGAGTTTGGGTTTTACGCTGCTTTTTTTAGCAATATTCCAGCAATATCACAGCAAGGGCACCAGAAATGAGCTTCACACATTGTACCCATGTCAGGAATCAAACCCACTCTTCGGGATGACAAGCGAACGCTTTAACCACTAGGCCCCCAGACACAGATCTAATCTTATTTGAATTTCAATTTATACATGCTAATTGTTTAGTAAAAATAAGTCAACTATAAAAGTGTGTCAATGAATCACTGTGAACCATTTTGTCTGATTTTCAACATATTTTCACAATATTGTCATCATTTTATTAAAAACATCCTCCAAATGAAACCTTGTCCAATGTCAAGTGAGTAATTCTATCAATGTCAAGCTGACAAGTCTTTATCCAATGCACTGGGCCTTCTTATTGTTCCTAAGACTGATAAAGATTTGACCTGAAAATTCTTTCAAAAAACTATTGTCTGTACAACTAAACACAACAAATGCCTTCTTTTAGACTCCCTACTTTCCACCAGGCACGACCTGCGTCCCTGCATCAACTTCACCGACTCTCTCACACAACCCAGCAGCCACTGATGGATTTAAATCCCCAGAGAAAACAAAGCAAATAAGAAAAGAAATTTGAAATAAGTACTGTGGTCATATTTTTGACTCTTAGCATAGAAAAACCCAACATACAGAACCTTAAATTCAATCTGTAAAAATGTTAATATTCCATAAATATAAAACATGGTCGAACTGTTATTGATTTTCGGAATGCAATTTTCAAAACATAAGCAAATCTTCATTGGGATAAGCAAAAAAGCAAATTCGACATGTAACTTTCAAAAAATAATAATGGAAAACAAATAACGTCCTAAAAAGTTTGTCGTTTTCTGACAGATGAAATGGGTTTTCAACACAGCTCATATGTTCGATTAAACTTAACAATGCCCTTTGACAAATGAAGGATATTTGAGTGGAATATTAAGGACGATATAATAACATTTAGCATTAATTCTAAATGGGTACCATTTATATTTCCATCGCATTAATTACTCACAAACTAAACATTTCTACTTTCCTCTTTCATAAAATAAGTCGAAAAAGTAGTTTCTCAAGTGTAATCACTTCCTCATTCTATAAATAACTTTCAAAATTATGTCCCTTCTGCAGGCTAACATCACGTCCCCTTACTTTAGTCAAATGTCTCTTCAAACAGCGTGTTGACTTTCTTTCATTATCGCCTTCGGCGTTTTAACAACTATACCAAATTTCACTATCGGTCTTGCTATTTCTAAATTGTGTCTAAATCTGTCATCAATCGCTGTCATTCACTATCGTTAATGTGAATAAAGAAATTCACTCAAAACGGTCATTTAATTGTTTACACAAAACTGTAGTCTGTCATACAGACCCTGATACAAATATATTCAATACAGCCCATGCAAGTCTATAATGTTTGGCAAGTCTAGATTACTGCAGTATCTGAAAATGAAGAGAGTCTATGGGCTCCCTTATTATATTTTTATCAAGATAATTCAACAACCTTTTTTGGTGTAAGATCTGTTCATTTCAGGGACTAGATGTTAGTCAAACAAAACTGTTCCTTGCCCAGTACACTAGAAACTGTTTCTGCATCTACTACTGCATTCTGGTTTGAGGGAGAAATACCAGTCTGGAAAACCAGGCACGAGTAAGTTTATTCACAAAGTACACATACCAGAGCTCTGTTGAAGCCAGGAATGTCGTAACTCCGAAGTAAAGAAGTTGGTCATACACTATCTGCTTGGGCTATTTCCATCACACGTGTCTTCAAGAGTAACATGACGAACCAAAAGCTGTCTGTCAAGATTGTGTTCTCGTGCTTTGTCCATACCAAAGATTATTACTGAAGGAAGTACTGTCAGCTATGCAGGAAACATCTCTCAAAATACTTTTCAGTTATCAAGGATTTTAGGAATGCTTCATTCACTCTGTTTCTTAACACCCTACATTAATTTTACTCTACTTTTGTAGTCTGTCTTTCAGACCCTGATACAATATATCAAATACAGCCCTTGCAAGTCTATAATGTTTGGCAAGTCTAGATTTCTGCAGTATCAGAAGAGAGTCGCTTGGCTCCTTTTAATTAAATTTTATTAGATAATTAACAACTATTTTTTTTCTGAACAATATGTTAATTTCAGAGACTAGATGTTAGTCTACTTTAGTGTAACATTGAATTAGGGTGCTGAACTACTTAAAGCTGACGATTTCATGCTGACTCTAGGTAAATAAAAACAGTGTGAGTAGTGTATGTTTGTCTACAAATACACAGTTGTCAAGCTGACTATCTTTATTTCTCTGCTTTCTACTGACATTTACCAGATGGTGAAATGAGAGAAAATACTATCTTTGTTTTGGTGGGGAGATAACTCTGAATGAAGATGAATGCAACCTTATCGCTTAGATAGGATTGTGATGTGCTGGGTCTGTTTTAGTACAGGGTATCTTGTGTGCCATGGTGGCACTATTTACACAGCACAGCGGAACAAAGACAACAAAAACTGATTGAGATAGAGTCCTGATGTTGTAAATCGTATTAGGTTAATTGAAGTAACTGACACAAACTCATTAGAAATTCCTGATAAATATGACTGTAATTAAGCTGCCATGGCCCTAGCTATAGATAACTCAAAGTTGACTTTAAGCAATGACAGCTTTGTGTGTTCAAGAATTTGGCTGAATTTGACTGACATCACTAAGGGAATGATAAAGGCTGGAGTCCAATATTTCACCCATATAATGACAGCCTGAAAACAATCAAATCTGGGTCAGCTAAACCAGTGGTTGATAGCATGAGCACTGATTCATGCGAGTCCACAATCAGCCAGGCCTTGATTAAATCAGCTTCTGATATACTGAGGGGCTTTCACTGTCACAGATTCCCCTTCGGGTATTTGGTTGACAAAATAATTTGTCCCAGAGAGAAAAAATTCTTCTCAGGTTTCTTTCACCCCAACCAAAAAATTTGTGATACAAAAAACACCCCTCTCGTTCAGCTTCCCCTTTCACAGAAAAGAATTGCATGTTTTGAAGCAGTGTCAGTAAAATACCCTATCTCTTACAGTAAACCCAGACCCCACCTACAACATTAAATGATGGGTTCGTATTGTTGCAGTAATCTCCAGCAGTATCTCCGACTACGATTACTGTAATGTCTGTCTGCATGTGATAATGACAGAGGTGTTGTGACATATGTGCCGTATACACCAGTGGAACATAAGCAATACAATACATAGCCATTAGATTAACCACACAGGCAGGGGGTTTCCCAATTATCTATCACAGGAACCATTGATTGGAAACAGACCCCCCAAAAGTGCTATTTACCATTGTGAAAACTAATAAAAGTGCCCCCTGTGTAGCTTTTGACATTCCATTAATGCTTTCAACGTTGCAAAGAAAAATGAAGAATTTTCTGCCGACATTCCATGAAAAATGTATTCTTGACAATATAATAGACGAGTCACTTTGGAGAAAGTGAAGACTTAATTAAAAGTACACACATTAAAATTGCTTTTAATATCCACCCCTTGTCAATTTTCGATGCGCCCACAGCACATTTTATGGTAAATATGGGAAGTCAATAATAAACGTTTTATATTCCATGATACATGAGCTGAAAGTGAGGACTCCAGTCCTAGGATTCCAGCCCAAGAATCAGACACAAGATAAGGTGAAATGGAGTTTAATGATGCAGTCAAGGTTATTGCACTTGTAGCGATGAGCATGCACGTTTGTGTGTGGCTGCTTGTACCTGTCTGGATGGAATAATGTTGGCATAAAGTACCAGTCCACTAAGATACCAGTCACAGTTTGACACAGATACCCAACTCAGATACATACAGTATGCTGACTCTGAGCTGAGCAGTCCTTATTTTACACAGATGGCCCAGTCGTCTAAGGCGCCGCGATTGGCACACCAGAAACCTATGATTGTGGGTTCTATTCCTGGTTCACCTCGATTATATTTCTAGGTTTGTCAGCACTATACCCGTGCTCGTGGGTTTCACCAAAGTGGTTAACGTCTGAGGCCTGCATCACTTCGGGCTTTCCTCCCACATTAAGCTGACACGATGTGATATAACTGGAACACTGTTAAAAGCGGCGTCAACCCAACTCACTCACTCACTTAATTCAGAGTGCCAGGCTGGGTAACAACAAGTACCATATTTCAGTGTTTTTTTTTTGTATGAACGGCCTGGGATTGAACCACTGTCTTTCAGCTCCCCGGGCAGATGCTCTATCCACTAGACCACGAAGGCAATCACTTGGTGAAAGACATCAATACATTCGACACAGCGACAACATATGAATGACATCTGTGAATTAAATCCTCACTACAAAAGCAAACTAAAGTATTCACTTACTTTTCTGTTTTATCGGAGGGGCACCGGACTTTGGCGTAGTTTGTGTAGTATTATCCGTAACCATGGGAACATGACCATCATGGCGGGTTTGCATAAAAGTGGTAAAATGTCCGTTAGTTTTTAACTTGGGTCGATACGGAGAGTATGCAGCCGGGTCTTGAACTGTGTTGTGATTGCGATCACCGTTCTGTTGAGGTACTGAAACAAATGCAGACATTGGATTAGGGTTACATTGTACGAATCATGTCTGAGGATTATGGGGTATGTAGGATTTTACGTGATGCACAAATGTGCGTCCAGTACCCACAAATTTAGATAATTGATGTCGAAAAATAATATACTGCGTTCCAAGGGATCGCAATAATATTTATTGTACCTAAAGCGCATCAAGCGCAACTATGGGTGTCTGTTATTTCATCCATCAATCATGGCCACTGTCCAGGTGGTCATTGCTTCCTTCTACACAATTAAGTAATTATCAAAACATACACTACATCATTTCAAAACTTTACAGGACCCTCAGAATTAATTATTGGGGGTCACCTGGACCCCCGCTTTTGTAAGTCAAGGTAAAACCCTGGGTACAGGATTAATTTAATGAGCTGAATGACTGGTAGACCAACACAGCGATATAACAGTTCATGCATTTGATCATACAATTACAGACATTATACAAGTTCAATACCTGGTTTTATGACCTGAAAAAATGCAATATTGACCACAGACTTGACCTCATGAAGGTCTATAATTGCATGTAAGCAACTGTTATCAAAATCAAAGTCAATACAAGATACAAAACCTAGTCCTGCACCATGACTGGAATATATTTATTGTATGGAAAAAACAAAAAAAAACAATCTAGAAACGCATACAAAAGCAAGTTTAGCCAGCTCTAGCTAGCTCTAATCAGCATAGGGAAATTTCTTAAAAATTATTTTTAGTGTCAAGAAGGATATTATGTAATATAAGATTTAATAGACTAAATGTTAGTCTATACAAAACCATTCAGAGAATATTTCTTTTATCAACTTGGTGGATCTCTTTTCAACAGTATGAGGACTGCATGAGTTACCTCCCTTGCACTGAGCAAAAGCAACGCCTAACTCACTCTAAAGTTCAATGTCCTGAGAAACACAATCAATACAATAGCAAAAGTGACAGCTCAAATGAAGAAATATATCTGACAAATTTGTTTTAAATTATATGAAGAAGCCTGAATCCAGGTTTATATTTTGTGACACAGTTGAAATAGCCCCAAGCTACTGGTACTTCCACTTATCTTCCAATAAGCAAATCACCTTGTTACATCAAGTTGCAAATTTAGAATTCTGCAGTTTTTGTCCAGGTTTGCCAGGGGTTAAATTAAGGGATAATTCTTAAGCCCTGAGAAAATGAGAGACATCTCTCACACAAGCAGTTTCTAGTTCTCAGTACAACAGCCCATTGTCATGGAGATCAGGCCACCCACAGCGTATCTACATGGCTTTCAGATTGGTTATTCTAGTTTTTGTTATCACATTTTTCCTGCATTTATTTTCTGCTTTGAATCTACAAGAAGACATAAAGAGCCCGGGAGTCTTCTCCTTCTTGTTTTTATTGGATAAGAAACTTAGGTTATTCACTTACAGTGAGTGAGTGAGTATTGTTTTACGCCGCTTTTAACAATATTCCAGCAATATCACGGCGGGGGACACCAGAAATGGGCTTCACACATTGTACCCATGTCGGGAATCGACCCGGGTCTTCGGCGTGATGAGCGAACGCTTTAACCACTAGGCTACCCGACCGCCCCTATTCACTTACAGAGGTAGTCATTGAAATACACGAAGTTATTCCATTATTCCATTTATTCACAACGAAAACACAAAGGAATGAGTGAATGTTGTTTTATGCCAGTCAGCAATATTCCAGCCCCAGCATGCTGCCTGTATACGATCTAGTTCACAAACCAGTGGTTGATAGCATGAGCAGCACTGTAGCCAGGATACGATGACTTGCGAAATCCAAAGGCTCACATTGTAGGGGAGGTGAGGTAAAATGGGGAACATGGTTGTGTCTAAGGGCGGGTAATTTGCGATTGCGAGAACCACTGGAACAGATCCAGGGGTTAGTGTAGGTCTACAGAAATGTGAGCGCTGGAGATACAGAGGATGAATAACAGGTATGGTGCTGACAAACCGAGAAACATAATCAGTGAAACCTGGGATTCAAACCCTTAACCAGTGGTAACTGACCTAAGGGATGCAACTGAGATTACAAAACGAATTGTGGTGCCTTAGAGTGAGTGAGTTTGGTTTTACGCTGCTTTTAGCAATATTCAAGCAATATCACGGCACGGGACACCAGAAATTAACTTCACACATTGTACCTATGTCGGGAATCAAACCGGGTCTTCGGCGTGACGAGCCAACGCTTTAACCACTAGGCTACCCGACCGCCCCGTGGTGCCTTAGAAGACGAGGCCACCTGTGTCCCCTGTTGCATGGAAAACAAGTATTGACTACATCGTACGGTACTCACTTCCATTGGCAGCACAGATGGGGCAGGTTTCGCTGTTGAACATGCAGGTGTAGCAGCGCTCATGACCACACGCATCGATCAGTTTACGCTTCTTGCCCGTGTCAAACGGCAGTCGACAGGCCGGGCACACTTCCACCCCGTGAAGCTCCATCTTCATCGTATTGATGGCATCCAGATCTGAAACAACACAATTGACACATTAACACAGAGTTAGGGGAATATTAGGGGAACCATAATCCTGTCTGACAACTGATGTATGTAATGTAAAATGTAAAAAGTAAAAAGTAAAATGACATAAATAAAGTACCAATGTCTGAAAAGTAAAAAGTAAAAAGTTAAACGACAACATCAATAAAGTACAAATGTCTGACCACTCCTGCAAACAACACTAATATTATCTTGGATGTTATACTACTTACAAAATGTAAAGGACAACCTGATTCTTTCAAATTACTACAGTGAATCTGTCATGGCATAACAGATGAACTATTAATATGAAAGATTTGGGTGGTCCTTTTTAGTGGCTTATCACCCAAGATGGCTGCTGGAAATAGAGTGTCCTGTAATTTGTACTGGAAAACTGAAAATCTAATTCAGCTTCAGATGGCTCACCTGAAACGAAGCCAAACAACAAAAAGCTTGGGAAATGAATATGACATATCATGTGTAACACGATAAAAATATTTGTGAAAGATGGACTGACGAGGCATAACATAATTAAATTCAAATAAATCAAACACTACAATTTTATAAAAAATAATCATTATTTTTAAACCTTTTCTCTGTAAGGTAAAAATAACCACAACAAAACATCAATGCAAGATCTTTAATCTGTCAAATATTTTGTTCCATCAGAATCCTTTCAGCTTAGACTACCACATAAATGCACCTAGAAGAGGAATAAATAATTTGTTCAGATTTTTTCTGAAACAAGTTTCTTGTAAAATATTAATGTATCGCATGGGCCTTCTTTCTCACAGACAATATAATGATACGCAAGAATGCCTACTTAAAGAATCCGCAAGTTATAAACTCTCCACACATTTCCTCCAGGCAGCTGGTGGATACGCCGTTTAACTGTGCCGAGCACACTACAGGGAACATCCTCATGTGGAAATTTAACAAAAACATTATGCCCAATTTAAAGTCTTAAACATACTGCCATTTAATTCCTGTACATTTCTGTATTTTAGAACTGTATGATCTCTTTAAGCTCAAACAGTGTGGCACATCAAACAAAACTTCAAAGACAATTTAAGTTCTTTTTTCCAATCTCAAACGTCTCATAGAAAAGGACGATAAATTTCAAGTGATCATGCAGATGTTTTCATGGTCTTCTTACTAATTTGTGGCAAACATTTTAAGAGACATTAAACTATTTTCGCATGACTTCATCCAGTGTATAATCTCGTAATGAGCTATTGATGTGAACAATGACACCGACCTACAAGCTATGACAATTTGTATTCTATTGTTTGATATGCATTGAGATGAGTTCTAATTTATCATCAAAATCTGCTTCCAGAGGAGATATCGCTTTGGTGAGATTAAGCGATATCAGGTATTGCTGCAATGAAATAGCAGAACAGTGCTGCTGATTAGCCTTGCTCCAAGGCTGTACTGAAAGGAAAGTCCATGGATGTGTAGTAAATCTATCCTCCTAATAAGCAAGTCTAGATGTGTTGACAAACATTCTCTTACAAGGACAACTTGTTCTTATTATTTACATAATCTAGAACTTATGATTTAAACTAATAATTATTGCCTTAGAGACTTGTGAAAGTCTATTTTCAGATCTTTGTGATGTGTTTTACACACAAGACACTAGTTAATACTGTCAACACACTGAAAAGTTATAAGAATGATTTTGGATGATAAATAGAATCTTTCCCTTGAGTCTTTTGGCATCATGTATATCAACACTGGTTGATAAAGTCTAAAACTCCCCGGCAAGTCTCGGAATTTGAAACTTTTATTGAAGAGTGTTTGAAATTTCCACCAAAACCTTTCATCTTCAAGTGCTGATATTTCTCGAAAGAAATGCCACTTCTATGGTCATAATGGAAAATATTGATTCTGCGAACATTAAATCATATGAGTTTGATGTGTTTAGGAATGGCCCGCACCTAGCTGTCCCTCTCAAACAGTGGGTGTACTTGATTGGGTTTACAGCTAATATATATAAAGTACATAATGCTAATATCGACATCATGAGTGAGTGAGTATGGTCTTATGCCCCTCTTAGCAATAGTTCCGCAATATCCAGGCAGGTAACACCAGAAAGGGGCTTCACACATTGTACCCATGTGGGGAATCAAACCTGGACCTTTGATGTGCTGGGTGACACCTGAACAAGGCTACCCCATCGCCCTGAAACACAAGGTCATCAGGACAAGGTCAGCCAGGTGACAACTTTCCATACTGAGATGCCATTGTGGCCATCGAAGCATCCTTAACTCTTCTCCTACACATTCTGCAGCACCTTCTACTTATACCCCACAAGTGAATGCTCACGGGACTACATAATTACTTCCATCTCTGGATCAGTGTGCGTTCAGATTTCATTATCATCCCCCTGGGGAGTATACAGACACAGGCTGTCGTATAAGGCACTAGGTTTAACAGTCACATTATCATCTCTTCCTACCGGGTACCCATTCACTGCAGGGTGAACAAAGGAATGTTTGGAACAAACTCTTGCCTTAGGAGACATCACATGTAACATGTTCCCTGTGTGCTCCAGAACATTCAGGAGGCAAGCTGCCAAACATGGTCAACCATCCAGTTACTCTCCATGACTGAGACTGCTTAAGTTCTCCTCCATTGTGACCTGTGCGCTGTACACAGGACGCGTGCTACCACACTGGGAGGTTACAGGCAGCTTAAGCTATAGCGTTAATATAAGAGGACATATTGTGACACAGGACACCTTTCAGGGATTGGAAGGGATTAAGCTAGGACTATTCACGGAGACCTACACATGTACCAAGGGAGGTCACCTCGGAGAAAACATCTCTTCTGTCAGTTAACACTTCTAATGCTTTAAATTATTATTCCACATTGCCATAGACACAGACAAAATTTAAGATAGACTATACACATTACACACTATAAAATAACTAATGAGATCCTATAACAATGTACCCATTCCTGCCGGTCTCTTCATTTTCATGGTAGAAATGGGTTCTAATGTCAAGTACAAAATTATTTCACTTAAAAAGCAACGTGCACTAATGCCGATTTTATAGTGCTAGCCCACTGAGATACCATGCTGCAGTTGAAAATGGATACCCCACTCAGACACAGTATACTGACTCCGAGCCAACCAGCCTGAGCACCAGGCAGGGCAACAATAAGCACCATCTTTTAACGTCTTTGGTATGACACAGCCCAGACCTTCTGCTCTCTGGGCAGATGCTCTACCACTAGACGATGGAGGCGTCCTATTCATGGTAGAAAGAATTAGCTCTGAGCTTATGAACATGCATGGTCATGCATTCTATATGAAAAAGCCAGTGAAGTTTAATGCACCAGCTGTGGACACAGAGTTCTTAAAATGGATGCTAACCGGATGCCTGGAGATAGGGGGGTTGCACCTCACCTAAGCGGCTAAATACATTGGCTGACTTGGTTGGCTGTGAGTCATCTTACCCTGAATGGATAGCTGCTCATAATATCAATCACTGGCTTTTCGGATCCAGACTCGATTATATACAGTCTGCCGTCAAATAACTGGATCATTGAATATCACCGAGAGCAACGTCATACAACAAACTAAACCATCCTGAAGTTCCGTCACTTATGTTAGCTCTGTCAACACCGTACCACCCCATCTCCATCATGGCTTGATGAGACCCGTGAAGATCCGGGGTAGGATAGGTCTTCAGCAACCCATGCTTGCCGTAAAAGGCGACTGCGCTTGTCGTAAGAGGCGACTAACAGGATCGGGTGGTCAGGCTCGCTGACATGGTTGATGCATGTCATCGAATATAACTAACATGGCCCGATGACAAGAACAACCTAAACAACAAATTATTCTGTCCGTCTAATTACGTCTACATTCATTTCAGACAAGTCATCCAGTGTTTCCTGCCAGGTAGATGGATTGCCAACATCACCTGTGTGGTTTCCATATGTGGATTAATGTCTCACAAAAATAACACAACAATTAAAACTGATGTATAGGGCATTATAATTCTTGGCAATAAATATCCAGGTGATGTTTAGCATTGCCTGTGATAACATTGTTTGTTTGTTTGTTGTTTGAAGCTGTATTCACCAATATTCCAGCTATATGACGGCGGTTTGTAAATAATTGAGTCTGGACCAGACAATCCAGTGATTGACATCATGATCATCGATCCATGCAATTGGGATACAATGACATGCCTCAAACCAAGTCAGCGAGCCTGACCACGCGATCCGTAAGTCGCCTCTTACGACAAATATAGTCACGTCTAACGACAAGAATGGGTTGCTGAAGACCTATTCTACCCCGGATCTTCACGGGTTATCCTGCAGCTAGTCATCATTCTGGACCACTTCATCATGTCATATATCAAGACAACCTCGTCATGAGAACTACGTAAGTAATTATATACCACTCAAAAGAAGTTAGAGAAAACCTGTTTGTTTTTTCAAATGACTACAGTTAATCTGTCAATAGTCTGACATCACATCATATTATGTCACAGATTGATTTTCAACATAAAAATAAGAGAACTATACGATTAATTCTTTAAAATTGTTTGTAAAAGGCTTTGCATTTCATTTTCTAAAACATGCCATTTCATTATCAATGAAAGGACTAATGTTTATTTACAAGAAGGTAGTTGAAAGTAAAGTGCAATTTTAGTAAAAGTTAACTGTATGACATTGTCTGGAAACTCCATACCATTGCCTAGACTTTTCAAGATGTTCACAAGTTTGTTTCCATTTTGTATCTTTATCACTTACCTTCTTCACAACCAGTTGTAGCAAATCCTGAACAATCAAAATCCCGATCAAAATCACAATCGCAACTACACTGAAACTCATACCTCACAAACCTATCTCAGGAAATAAAACAGTAATAAAAGTTTACCAAGCAAGACACCTTTCAGATCTTCCCTATCAATCCAGCACTAGAGGCCCACAAACAGAGTTTGGACAGGGTGGGTCACCTGTGGCATTGACGA